ACTTCGGCACTCGGCAGAGTTCGGCACGGTGTTTGTGTGCGTGCGACTAGACGTATGCGTGTACACTAGCTGCTAACTCAATGATAAAAATTCATGAATAACCTACATGTATTGTAAGATATTAAAAATATTTTAAACAATATTAACTTCTCATTTATTCAATAAGAGATAAAAAATTGTTTTCTTATCGGTCACCACTCTCAAAAAATGTAACTTGATTTAATATCAAAGACTTAACTGCATAAATAAAATAAATAAATAATTATAATTGCAAAAGTTGATAAAAAATGCTATGCAATAGCTTTACCGCGGCAGTCACCGAGTGCCACACGTATTTTATTTTATTATTTATCACTTAAGCCCATTACTTGCCAAAGTTGTAACGCGTGGCAGAAGATTTACTAGATCGGAAGAGTAAAATATCTATCAAATTTTGAAAATGTCGCGAGTTTGGGATTCTTGTCGGGAGAAATGAATATTAATGATAAAAGGAGGCTACAGAAATTCCTTAAAAGAAAACTAATTTAGGTACCTACATTTAATTTTTAGATCACCACATCTATTTGGCATTGGACTCTTAAGTCCAATTTGGGTCCTTTAGTAGTTTTCATAAAATATTTAAAATTCAAAGTTCAGTCTAATTACTAACTCAGATTTTATTAAATCAAAGGCCATACGTTAAATATCCGAGAAGTTGTTTGTCTGGAGATTTTGAGTTTTGTCGGGAGTCCGGAGCTCATTTAAAATGTCGGGAGTATTCAGACAAATCCCGACCATATGTCAACCCTACTTGGCAGGCAGGTTGCCAACCGCAGTTTTATTAAGAAGTGTAGTTGCGGTGTATCCACTGAAAATTTCGGGAATCAAGGAGTGAAACATTACTATTTAAAATGTATTTATTGCTTTTCAAGTATTTGCGAAAGATTTTTACATAGATGGCAATATTGGCATTCTTGTCTCCAAAATGGCCGTTTTGTAGGCGTCCACAGCTTCTTCAGGTGATGAAAATCTCTGTCCACGCAATTTATTCTTTATTTTAGGGAAAGTATAGAAATCATTAGTGCTTAGGCCGGGGCTGTACGGCGGATGGTCTAATAATTCTATGTTTTCTTGCTCTAAAAACTCTTTTGTTCTGTGTGCGGTGTGAGAACTCGCATTGTCGTGATGGAGGATGATGCGGCGGTTGCAATTCTCTTTACGGAGTTCAGAAACGCCTGTGGCAAACAAATGCTAGCATACCATTCTGCATTAACCGTTCTTTGTCCTTCAAGAAGAATAGTCGTAACATGGCCGGTTTTGGAGACAAACGTGGCCACCATTTTTTTTGCAACACTCCGTGAACGAACTATTTTTGTTGGCTTTAACTCATTTTCGAACACTCAAACTCGTGACTGGTTTTTTGTTTCGGGTTCATACGCGTATATTCAGGATTCGTCACCTGATACGATGTTGTATACAACAGCATTTGAGGATCCTGCGTGGAATCTTTCGAGAGTTCTGACGCACCAAGTAACGCGAGCCACTTTTTGTTCTTCATAGAGCGAATTCGGTATCCATCGGGAAAACAACTTTTTTACACATAAATGATCATGCATGATTATTTGTATTTGACTCATGCCAATGTCTAAAGTTGCCTGAATTTCGCGGTATGTCACATGTCGATCTTCATCAATCAGCATACGCACAGCATCAACGTTTTCTTGGGTGACTGCAGTTTTTGGACGACCTTGACGGGGATCATCACTGAGATTGACACGTCCACGTTGAAATTCAGCAAACCAGCGATAAATTGTGGTTTTGGATGGGGCTTCACCGCCAAATGCAGAAATCATCCGGTCAACACACTGTTTTTGTGTTAAACCACTTCGAAAGTCATAATAAATCATCGCTCTTGAATTTTCTCGAGTCAATTCCATTTTCTCAATGACTAAACAAGTTTGACAAAACCTTGTGACAAGACCGAGAATCTTTTTTTAAATAAATAAATGGTATTCGATTTTTAAAACCAAGGAGTTTTCAATTAAAAAGATTTCAATATGACAGGAACAGTGGAAATATTCCATTCCCGATACTTTTAGTGCAGCCTAGTATGAGAATTCACTACCGTTTATCATCCTGTGGGTGTCCTTAGAGGCGACTGAAGCATCTTTCTGAACACAAATTAGTAGCATTTTTTATAAATCTAAATATATAATAAATAATATATCATAGCCAAAAACATAGATTTATAAAATTAATTTCGTAGGGCCGTTTTTCAATCCTTAGATAAAAGGGAATGAATTAAATAACGAAATATACTTTATTGTACTCCATAAAAACATAAGAGTTAAAAAAAAGCAACAAATTATTTACTATTGACGGGCCTTTTCGCTTAGAACCTAGATCTCTACCAGGCAACCATTGCAGAGGATATAATGACCTGTGAGAATGGGTAAGGGTGTACGTCGGTTGTTGGAAAATATATACGACATAAATATAATCATATACTCAATAAATACATAATAAACAAATACATTTTAGTTACGAAAACATAAAATAACATATACAAGTGCAGAAAGGGTTAAACAAGTAAGTGAAATAAAACTCTTAACGTAAGGAAAAATAAATAAGTAGTAGTTTTTAAATGAACTATATAGGAGAGAAAGAGGAATGACTTTAAAAAATGTGATTACTAGGATTAAATAAAAAAAAATACGTGATAGAGCCACGCTTCAGATATATATTAGTTGTATCACGAATACCGGCGTAAAATAGCAGCGTAATGCTGCTGTATTTCGTATGGTGAGTGTAGAGAACCGGAGACCATTTTTTTATGGAATCGAGGCATTCTAAGTCCTCAGGGGTGACAACGTGCATTTTGATTATTAATTGAGGATAAATGTGTATGTCTTTGGGCCCCAGCATCCACTTACCATCAGGTGGACTGTGTGCTTGTTTGTCACCCAATGCTATAAAAAATCAACACAAACGTATTAACAACATATGAATATAATAGTTGGTTTCACTTGGCTATTTAGTTATTATAGGTTATAATTTTTTGACAGATATTTTATGCTCGATGATTTAAAAATCGGCCCCCAAATAGTTAATTATATTATGTTCATCATATTGAAAGAATAAGTATCGGTTTATATATTTTTATTATATTAGATTTATTTGCCTTTTGCATCATTTGTAACAAATTAATCACATCGAATCGTCCAAGTATCGCTATCATAGGCCCATAAATCTGAACTTTATAGGAATGTTTTAAAGTTTGAACCGACTTAAAAAGGAGGAGGTACTCAATTTGACTGTATATTTTCTTTATGAGTGTTACCTCAGAACTTTTTTCTAGATGAACCGATTTTGATGATTCGTTTTTTTATTTCAATGCTGGTTTTTCCCAATTTGATCAAATTCTGTACCCCGGTTGAGCCGATCCATTTGGGTTTCAGTCATCTATAACTGTAGCGTGGCTTTACCACGTAATATATTGTCACCAAATTGGACGATAGCCTGATAGGCTATATGCCACTTGTATATAATAATCTCTTGACAACTGCCATAATATTCAGAAGTTGAATTGTTGAAGTCAGCTAAGAGAATATCCTTAAAGTTGTTATGTTAAGACAAAATATACTTATTACAAGAAGTGGTCTATATTTAGTCTATGGTTTTAGCTACTTAGAATCTGTTCAATAAACAAGTACCGCAGAGATGGGTTTGCAAACTAAGTTAGAAGGTATGGAGTTTCATAACAAATGTCAAATTTTGCAAAGACCGCATATGTCTTATTACAAAAAAGTTGGTGTAGTAGTCTTAAACGCGACTGATGATCATGAAGTACCAGGTTCGAATCATGGCGAAGATGGCCAAAATTAGTTTAGTGGTTTTTTCTACCAATTTTCAGTAGCAGTTTTTCAGTCTCACGTGCCTCGGATAACACGTAAAACCGTTGGCCTTTTGTCTCTCTCTCTCTCTCCTTTTATTAGCCGTTGATTTCTGTCTGGTTGTGTGGTGTTGGTTTGCCGTCCCATTTGACTGTGAGAGTAAGGCAATAGAGAGTGCACACTCGGGCACTGCAATCCTGTTCTGCGCAGATGGCTGGTCTCTGGGGACTGGTTACCGTGACCGAAATTCGGTCTGGGGGACATTATCATTCCAAAAGGTGATTTATCTTGGGCTTACAAGAGTTTTTCTAACGAATAGATGTCCCTTAGCCGAAATTTGACGTTCACCGTCAAATTCCATATTTTATATATTTTAGTTCGCACATTTCTTCTGAGAATAATTATAGACTATTTTTTATAAGACGGATAGTGTTCTAAAAGATGGCGTTTCCTTAGTGCAGTGACTTTGCAATGAGGTACGGTGCAGAGGGCCGCGGATTCGAATACCGCACTATAAAAATAAGTACTTATATGGCCTACAAATAATATTTCCGGTTCTGGGTGCTTCCCTTGTGCAATTTAGGTATGTAAACTTTGTTCACTATGCAGGAGATATTACATATTTTTTATAGAATAAGGGTGACAAACGAGCACACATTCCACCTGATGGTAAGTGGATGCTGTGATCTATAGACATCTACATCAATCCTCGATAACGCATAAAATTCAGATGCGTTTTCAACCCTAAGGACTAGAAAGAAATGGTTCGTATCCAGTAAAAAGGGTCTACGTTGGTATTCTGTAATAGTACGGTCCTTCCCCGGTCGAGGCGACCCATTCTTTGCTACACCTATAATATAGCTACAGCATGGCTCTACCATCTAAAAACTAGTGTGACATTTTTTATAAAAAATAAAGATGAAATATATCTTCGAACGTGTAGTCCATAGTACCCTGTTCACGTCACGTCGCCGTCACGTAGCTTATAAAGATGTATGCAAAAGAAAAACATACAAGGAAGTAGACCAATGTACCGTTGCATCGTCCGACTCATCAGTATACTCGTAAACGCGGTGACCAACACTCGTTTCTTATGATCTTCGGTCTGCGGTCTGGACCGACGCGTAGTTAAACGTACGGCGACCAACGGGTTTTAAGTTAACGGTAAGTTATACGACTTGTGAAGGATCTTGTTTATAGATTTAAAATGCTTATTAGGACCAAGCTTATTACGAAGAATTTTAGAACTTTTGAGTTAATTCTTTTTTCTATTACTTAGCTCAAAATAAACAAAACCCTCATAAATTTATAATTAATATGTATCTTGCGGTAGCATAACTTTGTTTAAGATTTTTAACGATCACAAATAGGGCTGTCACCCATTTGTTTTACCAGTATTAGTCCCGTGTAGTTCCCATGTTTATGTGAGACTTAAACCAAAAAAGTGGCAACTGTGTTACTTGGCTAGCATGTTGTAAAATACCACTAGTGGAGTGTTGGATTTCAGTAGGTGATGGTCTAGCCAAATATCTCTTCTTTCACAATTTTCCCTCTAAATCCATATTTTTTGACAAAACGTGGTCCGCGTAGCTCCTTGTTCTTTGGACTCTGCCTATCCCGAGGATCACAGGCATGATTATGTTTGTATAATACACAAAAATACTTTATTTCTCTTTTAAATATGTTTTGTTGTTAAACAAAAATAAATTACGACAAGTTTACACTTTAAAAACTTCAAACTTTTCAGTGATAACGCCATAGGTGATCTGAATTAGCGGTTAGACTTCGATCAAACGAACGGGCTTTCTTGGATCAACATTTTGTTTTTAAAGACCATTATAATATCAAAAAATATATTAAAATATGTATAGATATTGATAATGTTTTCAAATACTGTTATTATTCGTCGCCAAGCAAAACTTATTAGTATTCTATAACAACTTGATTGCAACCTTAGCCACATACGGTGTATAAAATTAAACATGAAAATGTAAAAAAAAATGTCATTAGTTTTTACATGGTAGAGCTAGGCTCTCACAGAATTCAGCGTGAAACAGCATACTCGTAATAATATTGCTGTGTTACATATAGTGATTGTAGAGACCCGGAAACCATTTTTAATGGTAAAGTGACATACCATCTTAGTCCTCAAGGGTAACAACGCATCTGCATTTTAATTCTTATTCGATGATACGTCTAAATATCTTTGGGTTTATTATCGTTGGGTCGGTTTTTCATCCACTTAAAATCAGGTGGACTATGTGCTCGATTGTCACCCTAATTCTATAAAAAAAAATAAAATGAATTATCTGTAATACAGATACGAGAGAAACAATTTTCAAGATATATCGATTTCAAAACGCTTTGTTCTATTATGTATATTTTTTTCGCTACAGTGTAATTATCCGGGGACTACCGGGGAAGGACATAAAAACCTAGCGTGAACTAGCAACTATCATAATGATGTGCATTGATAGTATTTTAGATGATTAGATACAGTAGCATAATACTGCTGTGTTTCGTATATTGAGTTACGAGAACCGGAGCTTTTTTAAATAATAACGAGGCATTCCATCTCAGTCTTTAGAGATGGCAATGTAACTACATTTCTATCCTTAATGGAGGAAAGATGTAGGTTTTTAAGGGCCTGAGCAGCCACTTATCATCAGATGGAGTTTGTGCTCACTTTTCAAACCTTATTTCTATAAAAAATGCTAGGGAGAAGGAATAGGCAATATAGATAAAAAAAGGTTTTATTTTGTATTAAAAGTGACTAGCGTCTTGTTCAAGAGTAAGGACTGCGAAGTATACAAATGTATTATACAACTTCGACTTCTGTGACAAATCACTCCTATCACAATCATTTTTAGTTCCGTTAGAATTTTAGAGTTAATAGTATTGTCAGTATTACTCTTTTAAAAAAGTTGTAAATATATTATATCGTTAGGAAAATAGATTTATTCGTTTACTAGAAGTGGCACGCTTAATCGTTTATTAGGAGTTCAATTGGCTTAGTAACACTCGTCGTAATGGTATGTTTTACGTCTTACTTCTTTACCTCAGTTATATCTAATATATAGAGCACAGTAATAAAACAGGAACTCCTGTTTTACACCAAAAAGTAACTTATACCTCAATCTATCTTTGTTCGCTCATACTGTACCTATCATCATTTTTTATACATTTTTCTACACATATCCAACGAAATTTACATTTTTATATAACAAATTAGATCACAGAAATGTTTATATATATATATATATATTCTATTTACATAGATTAAAGACAATTATTCAGTTCAGACGGAGCTATCAGAATTAAATTATTTTTTAATTGAGTTATTCAAGACATTCCAAATATAACGAACAAAATATTTTTTTAAGTTCCTTTTTTTTTACTTTTAATTATAGCCGTTCGGATAGAGGGGACAGATGATATTTAGGAAGTAAAAGTATAATGTTCCTACATTTACGCGAACACTGCACATTTAAATAAAACTAGTTTTTACGGATTTTATCCCGTATATTAACTCTTTTGATCACGGTGACCCACGGTGCTGTAAAGTGCTAGAAATGTCGGAAATATAAAAAGTTAATATACGGGATAAAATCCGTAAAAACTAGTTTTATTAAAAATATAAACTAACGGCATATGTAAACGTTAGCACACGACTCCTCTCATTTCTGACGACGTAAGTTGATTAAGACAACGGTTAAAAAAGAAATTTGAATAAATGATACGATTTAGCTAAGAAAGAACGAACTTTTAATGGTAGAAATTTATGAGTCATGGGTAAAATAAAAAGTATTTAGGTTCGAGATATCACTTAGATGGCTGTTATGATTACAATAGATCCTACCGGGAAGTTTTCATTTATTTAAACGGAATTATTAGCTCATAGTTTATTTAGTTGATTACATAAAAGTTTGAATGTAACGGAAACAAATTGTTATATATCATAGGAAATTTCTAAATTTCCTAAAAAAATCCTACTAAATTCTCCTTGATTGCTTTTTATAAAATAATACAGATATTACGTATTTGACCGAATGATACAAATATGTATACCTTAGTACCACTAATAAATTAATCAATGTATTATAATGAAGTAAAATATCCAAACAAAAACAGTCGTCGGTGAAAGTGGCCGGATCTGCGCAATCGCTACATCTATGGTCCCGATGCACCGGCGTTGTTCGCCGATACTTCTAGAAATTAAGGTCACTTTCTCTGCGAAATCTTAGGACTAAGTCACTACCTGTATATAGATATATACATATAGGTAGTATATATTTATGGAACTTGAACTTTCCTTGCAAAACAAGAGCATGTAGACGGAATATTTGTTGACATTTTATTACAAGCTTTAGGTTTAAATTTTTTCTTAAATATCGTAAAGTATCTTTTTGCCTAGTCGTCCCTTTTTCTATAAATGTTACGCGATATCTTTGAAAATTAAACTAATCAAAATGATTCTATATTTATAATAGGTCCCATATTATAAACCTGTAGAGAAAATTACACACTTAAGGGTGGGAAAATAAGGAATGAAGCTTTTAATGTAACTTTTTTAGGCCATTCTAGTAGTTACCTTAGATAATTCAAAAGCTCAAATGGGTGAAACATTAAACTTTTAATAAATCATAAAAGCTGACTTAAACTTACACTAAATAGAATACCAGTAAAATAATTTGTACACAACAACTTTAGAAGTCGGGAATTTAATTTTTTAATACATTTACCAACTTCTGAAGCTGTGATGTGTGGTTATTGTCTTGCTGCTTGAAAACAAAATTGACATTGAAACAAAGCCACTCAGTTTTTCAGTAACAAATATTGATTTCTTTTTTGTAATATGGTATTTCTACTTCACTTTCTACAGAAGTAAGATTGACTAACTAGCACAAAATTTACTAGCACAGTATTTTTTTAAATATTTTTATAAGGTAAGAGTGACAAACGAGCACACAGTCCACCTGGAGGTAATTCCTTGCTATTGCCCATAGACATCTACATTAATTCTTGATTACGAATCAAAATACATATGCGCTGTCCACCCGTGAGGGCTAAGATGGAACGCCTTGCTTCTAGTAAAATGTTTCTCCGGTTCTCTACACTCACCTCCACACAGCAGCGTTGAGCTGCTATTTTAGGCTGGTATTCTGTGAGAGCGTGACCCTTCCCCGGTCGAGCCGACCAGTTTGTGCTACAACTATACTGCTAATATAGCTGCAGCATGGCTTTATTGCTAATGCTAATATTCTGTGAAAGCGTGGTCCTTCACCAGTCAATAAAATTTGTGCTACAGGCTGAAGGTCATAATATTTAGCGTAGCTGGAACCGAGGCATTCCATCTTAGTCCTCACCTAGATTCGTAATCGAGGATGGATTGAAATAAACTATTTTTCGGAATTTATCGCGTATATTTAACTTATTAATTACCCGACGTTTCGAACGCTTTACAGTCCGCGACTGAGATGTTCAACGTCCATATGTCACAGGTAACCGCGGTTACCATAGATTAAAATTTAACTTTTGCTCCGATCTATGCTAAAGTTAAATTTTAATCTATGGTAACCGCGGTTAACTATGACATATGGACGTTGAACATCTCAGTCCTGCCCGTGACCATGAGTGCTGTAAAGCGTTCGAAACGTCGGGTAATTAAAAAGTTAAATATACGCGATAAATTCCGTAAAAAACTAGTATTATTTCAATGTGTAGTGTTCGCGTAAATATAAGAAATCATTATCGAGGATAGATGTAGACGTCTATGGGCAACAGCAACCATTTACCATCAATGTGGACTGTGTGCTCGTTTGTCGCCCTATCCTATTTAAAAAAGACTCGAATTCAGTTTGGGTACCTACAAAGTCACAATAAGTTTTGGCATCCAATGCCTTGTATTTTTCCGTGTAAAGATTTGATATACTTACCAGATTTGAACCAACGAACCTCAGTAATCTACTCTGAGTTTCTTAAATTTGTATGTTCTCCTGACTGCTAAGCCTGATCGTTCATCATCATTATCATTATTGCCCATCACAAATCTACTGCTGAACATAGGCCACACCCAAAAAAATGCCATTTTCGTTAGTTCTGGTCGTTAAGTAAGTACAAAATTACTCTCTAGAGAGGGAAAATTTCATTGTAATTGTATGTCT